GCTGTTTCCTGGAAAAAAAAAAAAAAAAAAAATGAATGTTAATGTTAATGTTAATGTTACAGTACAAATGATATACTATGTAACGATAATTTAACGGCAAGCTAAAGCAAAATGTTTCTCATCGTTGCTCATAAAAACTAATTAGAACATTTTGTTCGTAACGACGATTTTCATCCAAAGGTCTGTTAAGATAGCAAAAGATATTGAAGACGTAAATATGATAATGAAAAAAGATCGAGAACATTTTTTATGTTTTACAACTAAAATGTAATGCAACAAATGAAGAATGTGATATGAATTTCATTACTCTTTTTTAAAATTTATCTTCATTCTTCTTTACCCTTTCTTTTCTTTTAGTATGAACGAAGACAATTTCTTCGATTAAGACCCAACCTACTCGATAAAATCCAAGTCAATTAAATTATATAATAAGCTTCTTCATTAATTAAGCATAATGACACAACACATAAGCCAAGAAACTCAATACCACCCTCTTGTTTTATTAATTTAATCAAAGATAATGATATTGTTTAATCCATAATTAATTAAATAATTATAATCAATTACCAACTTTAATTCACTTCTATTTGAACCACAAACATAGTCTATTTAATTGCCAACCCTAATCTCTAGTATAAAATTATTATGTCACCTTCAAACTTTAATTTTGCACATTATTTTATGATTATTTTTAATTAATCCATGATTAGCTTTTAACAATACTTGGCCATAGTTGCTCTGATAGATTATATTGTAATCTTCTTCAATGTTGACCTAATAATCATTGGACCAAAATCGAATTTTCTAAAATGTCCCTTTCTCAATATTTGTTGAGGAAAACTTGAATTCTTGAAGGACTTAAAACAAAATTAAGGGTAAATTTTTATTAGAACAAATTACTCTAAAAACTCTTCGAACCAAACGGAATATTTTTTTTCAGAAAATTATCCAAATAGATTCAAAAGTAGTTTCTCAGTCTCGTGTGCAATTTTAACTTTTCAAACGCATTATGAAATGGGATTTAAGGTAGCTTCCTCAAAAATCTAATGTACAAGAAGCGGAAGTAAAAATAGAAGTTCTGTCAAAGAAATCCTTAAAATAATTTAAATTTAGCCCCTCTATTTGGTCTCATTTCCTAAAACTTATTTTTCTCAAATTCATTTTCAACCACATATTTCATAAAAGTTACAATGTTTATCGACTTTAACAACACATTTCAACAATTTTATCAAAATTAATTGAAAAAAGTGATTTTAATCTAAATCAAACATGAACTTAATTTACATAATAATAATAATGAATTAATCATAAACAAGTCTAAAACTAGCCACTCAACTATAGCCAAGCCGAAGTCAATGTCAGCCGGCATTGCTTCATTATACGGCTCATTATTACATCATGCACTACAGAACGCTTGTATATATAGAGACTGCGGCTTAATAGTAATGAGAAAGGAATGGATTGTAAGATACCAAAAGCATATGGGTCTTTGTATTTCTGTTTGAATCACCGGGACTTTGCCGGAAAGTTGACTATTCTGGCGGATTTCGGCGTTTCTTAATATACTCATCACTCGTCAGTCTTGTTCGATAATAGAAGCAAATCCAGGTATTTCTTTCTTTGTAATAATTCTTATATTTGATGAATCCTTTTGGTTTATGTGATAGATAAATATATTGGTTCCGAGTTATGATATTATCTGGTTCTATGTTTATTGGTACTATCTTCATTTATTTTCTGATAAAATGTTAAAATTAAACAAAAAGTTAGCATCTTTCTTGAACCAGCTATGTTTTATGGATTGAAGTATCGGCATGTGAAACCGCAAAATGTCTATAAGATGAACGAAGCCTAAATACGAAGAAGTGGAGATGGTGCTGCACAAGGACATATTAAAGATAGGATGAAGTCTATGGTCGGGATATATTTTGCATAGACCTATAGGAGCTCTCGTTCAATAAGCCGTTCTTGAATTTATTTAGAATAAATCTTAGTTTTGGTTGTACTGAATAGATTGAAATTAAAACAATTTAGATACTTTTCCTAAGAAATTATTGATTGCAGATTCTTTTTTTTTTTTTTTTTAATTTGATTTATGGCATACAGATTGCTAGTAACATATATATAGTTGAACAGATGGTGCAGCTATCTAGTCTTTTGACGTCTTTGTCAAAGAATGTTTCAATTAGTAGTAGGAAGAGGAGAACAGACGTCGGAAAACAAGCCGCGGATCAATTGGTGAAGGAAGCAAAGAGGAAAGAACTGGTGCGAACTTCTTCTGGTGTTGTTAATGCCGACAAATATAATAATTTTACTTCAGTTTACTCGAAAAGAGGGAAGAAAGGAATTAATCAGGATCGCTTCATTGTGTGGGAGGTATGAAAATCATATTGTAGACAGATACTATTCACCAAAATTACCCAAATAAGTCTAGCTGTTGCTTGATTTATGTGATTCTTAATCTTAGGAGTTTGGCTTCCAAGAGGATATGGCCTTTTGTGGAGTTTTTGATGGGCATGGTCCATGGGGACATCTTGTGGCAAAAACTGTGAGGGAATTGATGCCATCATCTTTACTACGAAATTGGCAAGAAGCTGTTGCTCTAAATGTACTCAATTCGGGTGATAACTTGGGATCGGACACAAACCATTGCCTCTTTGATATATGGAAGCAATCTTACTTCAAGACTTGTTCTGCTGTTGATCAAGAACTTCAGCGCTGCACGGGAATCGACTCCTTTTACAGTGGTACTACAGCTTTGACAGTTGTCAGACAGGTAATGGAATCCAATTGCATTAGATTTTTATAGTGTATTGAGATGCCACGGCAACTGTCTTATGTCGTCATTCTCTTAATCCATCTCCAATCCTAAGTTAAACATCAGCTGATTGATACTTTTCAGGGTAATCTCATGATAGTTGCTAATGTTGGAGATTCTCGTGCTGTGCTCGCAACCACTTCTGATGATGGTCGCTTGGTACCCGTCCAGCTTACAGTTGACCTCAAACCCAATTTACCACGTTAGATCTTTTTCTTGCTCTTCACTACTTTCATGCATCTATACGCAGTTTTGCTCGAAGACTTACATGAGTTTGGTTTGTCTCATCATGTTCACAGACGAGAGCGAACGAATAACAAAATCAAGAGGGAGGATATTTTCTTGCCCGGATGAACCTGGAGTGTGCAGAGTCTGGATGCCAAATGAACAGGCGCCAAATGGTCCGGGATTAGCAATGTCAAGAGCCTTTGGTGACTACTACATAAAAGACTTTGGTCTTATTTCCGAGCCTGAAATAACAAAGAGAAACATAACTAGCAAAGATCAATTTGCTATTTTGGCAACCGATGGGGTATGTATAATCCTGTTAGCCACAATACTACTACTTTTTAGGACTGATATGGTATTGAATCTGATGGCTCTTTTGTTTTCTTAGGTGTGGGATGTTATATCTAATCAAGAAGCTATAGACATTGTTTCTTCGAAGCCAGACAGGGAAGAAGCGGCTAAGAGGCTAGTCGAATGTGCAGTTAGTGCATGGAAACGCAAAGGACGGGCTGCTGCAATGGATGACATTTCAGCTATTTGTCTCTTCTTTCATGAGTACGATCACCCTCAATCCATGAACTCGGGGAAGCCGAATAGTAAACTTGTATGAACTCAGCAACTTCTCGTTGATCTTTTCAAGCATTTATTTCTGATTGCAGTCCAATCGTACTAAAACTCTGTATCTTGTACATCATTTTATATAGATGACTCCAAATTTATTGAGAATAAAGTATAGTTTGTATGTTATCGTTACTGATATGAATATCAGTATTCCATCGAGTAATACTGTGAGAGCCCTGGCTACAACAATACAAAAGTTTCTGGTAAATTTTCAGGCCGGCGTTAATCCTTTGAACACAACATCCACTCCCGGGTATATATACAACCAAATGCACAAATCCTCATCATGACCATTTGACTTCCAAAATGTATGAAAAATGCAGTGATCTTTATATATCAAACAAGGAATATATTCTTGTATCTTTAAAATGACAAGTTCAGCTTGAAAGGCTGGTAACAACATACAGAAGTGATACTCCCAAAACTTTTAAAACTTAAACACAAGACAAACTTGAGTACCCTATTCTGTTATCATACTAATGTTACAAGGTGTTATCCGAAATTAAGAATGTCTTGCTTCCCATACAAGCAATCTCGGGTACAAAATTTTTACCTTCCCAAAACACATTCACCCTAAAGAACTCTTTGGACTGAGCAGAAACCACCAAATGATTTTCATTCGACGAGCCATCCATGCGTATGGGCCTTTATATTGTATTCACGCTCTTCCAGAAACAATTTCCTGTTCATCCTCCATAGTGATTTATTCATTTCTTATCGACTCGTCTGCTACTGGTAATCTGAGAAGACCACTGTCTATGAAGGGCTGCAACTCTTTGTTTGCCAGCTCTTTTACCTTGGAATCCGAGGTTTCCACGAATGCGCTAACGACCTTGGAACTACAAACAAAGACATCACATTTTCAGGAATTCTCTCCTTCCAATCTCTGACAATTTTACATGCAAAATGTTCAATTAGGTAGTCTCACCTATGTCCTTTGACCCAGGTTGCACATTTTCCTTTTAGAGCTTTTTCCCACAGGGTCAAAGCAAAAGCAGGACAGTCAAGAACAAGTTTTCTAATAGTCCTGCTCGAATGGAACTGTTCGAGAATATGCTCCTCTTCTGCATCATCCTGCTTAGGCTGCATAGCGAGTGAAACTATAGCTTCATGCAGAGTGGCTAACTTTTCATCCAAAGTTGGATGGAGTATACCATCAGCTCCTCCAGTAGCAACCTACATGTAATTACGAGATTGATCCAAGTCAATGATCCATAGGCTTCCAAAATAATTGAAGCCATATAATACAATACATTGGACACTGAAGGAAGATTAGATTAGATAAAAAAATGAAGCAGATTCTAATCCAAGAATCATATCCTAGAAGCATAAATGAATTACAGAGATGCAATTTTATCATAGATGCCTTGCATAGAAAGCTTCCTGTACTTGAACTACTTTACTTTTTTTTTTTTTTTGCTATTTTGTTGCACTTTTTCTTCAGAAGAACTTATATAGTAGCACATTGTTTTGTTGAAGTCATTTATAAAAACCCTGATACAAGACAGCTAGAGGGGTAAATTGTTGCCTCAGAAAACTGCGCCTCCTTTCGGTAAGATACAACACCAGCGAGGGTTTCCATCAGGCATCATACAAAGGCAATGTATGCCCAAAAATAGTTGGTTTCCTTCAATACATCAGTGTTCGCTTAAAGATTTGTTCATCTTAAAAAACAGACACAATAAGCTATCAGGTATCTATGTATTCTCTCTTCAAACAGCAATGGATTATGCAAAAGGTTGCAGATTATAATGAAAACTTATAGGCCACAGGATAACTACCTCATATATGATTTCTTTCCCAAATTTAGACCTCAGTAACTCTCCTGCAATTTCATGGCATGCATCAATGAGTTTCTGCCAAAATAAAAAATAAATGAATAAGCCCGAAATCCAAAGTAACATCTGAACAGCACCAGTCCAACAGTCGTATCACGTTGTAAGTAAGCTGGATGATTTTAACAAGTTGTTGAAACTTAAACAGAGGGGGAGAGGGTGGGGAAGATGTTGCAATATTTTTTAAAGTGAACATAAAACAGAAAACATCAGAAGCAACATTGCTACAGATTCATGATGGAAAATGGGTGAATACTCCTAATAAAAATTGAGAAAACAGTCGTGCAAAATTTTTATGAAGGCAGAATAGAAGTACAAACCTCAGCAAGCCCACTATTAACTAACAACTCCTGCCTTCGTGTAAAAGAATCCTTCTTACCACCATCATTTAGATGAATACTTGTATCGGAGGTTTCGCCTTCACCGTTTCTATCCTCTTCAATAGCTTCATCACCCTTAAAGTTCGCATCTGATTCACCCTGATAAACAGAGTCAAGGAGACTAGTCAACTCCATTACTTTCCAAAAACAGTTGAAGATCTACAAGTTCTATAAAGAAAAGGAGGTTGCCTTATTTCTGATAGATGGAATAGATAAACTCATGGAAGTCAAATCGTCTGGACTGAGATATCGAGGATAATTTGGATGGAGTAGCTGCAGGAAAGGACGTCTTGCGTTCTGCAAGAGAGAAAGAGTATTAACATTCAGTCAGACCTACGATTTTAAAACATCCAGTCAAACAAACAAATTTATATTCTAGTATGTTTAAAAGCAATAAACCTGATCTAAAATAAGCTCCTTTAAATTTCCTTGGAGTTCTTTAAGGATGATCTGCATGGAAAGAACATTTAGAAGGTGGCATCCATTTGAATAAGCAAAACTATCCAGAACCCAAAATGGGAAGTGAGGAACCTTTGATATAAGTTTTGTGTCATCAACAATCGAAAGAATGCAGACAAGGACCTGAAAGAATGATCAAACCTTGACGATGTAAGAGAATCTCAAATCGGAATTTGGAAGTAAACAGGACGTAAAAATCAAGAAGCTTCATACAATTACTATCCACAAATAAGTTAAGCAGTAATAATCCAGCACTATGAAGTATGAAAACTTCCAGTAATATGATCCACCTCTGGATCAATGGTAATATGATTTAAAAGATACGGTGGAAGAAAATGATTGACATGGCAGAAAAGTAAGAAGAATGGGTCAAAACTGCTGAAGTCACTCACCATACTTCCATATCTATCATGAGCTATTTTGTCAATATGGCCTTTCATGCCTTTAATAATTTTCTTCCGCTCCTGCAAAAAATATAGGATTTAAGATTAGTTCCAAAAAACAACACCATCAAAGCTTTCAAAGTGAAGTTAGTAGTGTTAAATTGGCCGTTATTAAAATGAAACTCCTTAGCCATTGTGACTTACCTTGGCATTCCCATGCTTGACACAGAGACTACCAAGTCTGGATCCATCCTTGGTGTGAATCACCCGCACAAGACCTGAACCTGACAAGTGCTGGATTACATCTGCAGCAGAAGACTTCAAGAAGACTTGATTTAAAGAAGGGAAAAAGACATTAGACAGTAAAAAAAAAAATACAGCATTTTCCCTCATAAAATTGCTATAACCTGACATATATAATAGAAAGAATTAAGAGTGGATATCTGAATTACCCCGTCAGCAACTGTTAAATACTCCATTAATGCTCTGTGTACAATGGAATGGTCTAATATCCCTTTCTCAAGAATTGGTTGAAGAACAGAGCTCATGTGGCGTAATACTGACGATTTTTGTAATTGTAGCTTAGATATTACATCTACTAACCTGTAGCATTAGTAAGTTATAAGCAACACAACCATGAAATTTGAACATAATGATTATTCTTTGATTCATATATGCATATAAAATTAATGGGCGAGAGAAAGAAAGAAGTGAGCAACTTCATGAACCCAGAAAATTTGTGAATGGTTTTCAAGATAGAGCTTTAAAATAAAGAATAACTAACTTCTGAAAAAGATCAAACATGTTTGACAAAAATGTAAGTTAAGATAACTTTACAACTTAGCCAAACATGCTCATAATAAAATCTCTCAAGCTCCCAACAAAAGGGATATTCCCTCACACCAGACAGTTTTAAGTTAGTGTCAATTAGAATAAAGTCTACACACCTTTTCTCGTAAGTCACATAAAGAAACTCTAAATCCATATTAGTACAACTTGGCATGCTTTATACAAAACCATAACCCATTGCTTGACTATGAGATATACAGCAGATCTTTTATGCTTCATTGATGACAACCTTGACTGTTTAGAGTCTTTCAAGCATAATTTTCAGGTTTCTAGTAACTTAATGTGAGGAAACTTCAGCTCTGAGAAAGAGCGCAGATTATTTATAGAGAATTAATATCTTGAAATAGCAGTCACTCAAGCAACACATGAAGAATATTGAATTATGTACCTGGTCTCCTGTATCGTGACCAAATCCTTAAATAATTGAAGTTCGGGCGAATATAGCTCCATCAAAAGAGCTTGCTTCTGTGTTGCACTCCCCAAACTATAAGCATGTTCAATAACTACAAAAAGCAAGCAGTATAAAATATGGGAATATGAATAACAAAAAGAGGAAATATCTTGCTTCATCAAAATAAATGTTATATGGTGAGCTTGAAGAAAAGAGTGATAGGTCTTAAAAGTAATAAGTAAAAGGACATTGTGTTGTAAACCGATAATTTAAAGCTAAACACAATTTTTCTTATAGATCTAGATTTTCAAAAATTATGTTCTCTTAAAAATGACAGTGGACGCTGTGACACCATGACTAAGTGAATACAGAAGATTCAAATTTTGGAGGCAATTTGCTCTTACAATTAGTTACCACGTCTATTTCAGAAGTTCATAAATATCATACCAAGTGAACCGACCATTTGTCGAAGAAGAGAAGCAACATGCCCATGGAGGGAGGAGATAAACTCTGCCACCTGTTCTTTGGATGCTGTAAACCAGTAAAATGAAATTCTTTAGATCACAATCAAATACCAAATAAGTATAGGAAAGGGGAACGAGTTAGCGTAATTTTTGGTTGGACATACCATTATCTAACATCTTTGTAACTAGATGAACTGCATAAGTATTGCTGACGAGGGAAATAAAGTGGGGCCGGAGCTCCGTAAACACAGCTTTTCTTTCATCTTGTGTACAGTGTTTGACACAAGTCTAAAGTTCCAGAACATAAATCAATAAAGTACGTACAACAACTTCAAATTTTGAATAGATTAGGGACAAATTGGTAAGTGGAGGATGTGGGCATAAAAACCTGAAGAACACGAGATGAAACGTGGGAGCTTGCAATTTCAGGGATCTTCCCCTTCATCTTCTTGAGTGCTTCACTCACATGCCTTGTACGCACAAAAAAAATTGAAAATGAACAAATGATATTAAAATTAAGTTAAAAGGCAATCTTTAAAATCACAGGAAAGCAAAACAAAAAAATGTAGCAAGAATTTGTAAAGTGAAGTATACACACTTGGATCTATCTTCTTTTTTAATATCTCGAACTCTCATCTTCTCCCAAAGTGAGGCAAGTTCCTGATAAAAGAGAATTAAATGACTCAGCCAACAGAGAATAACTTTTAGCAAAAATGGATCTAAACAGATAGTGGTGAACTATTACTGTGGAAGTAATATGGTGTACAAGGAAGCGTGATTACAGATAGTACTTCAAAGGTGATAAACATTTTATATACACCTCGTGCTTCCTCATTGAAAAATAAGTTACAATGTCAAGATCAGTGTTAATATAGTCCCCTCGACCCCCTGTAAAGTGTAAACAACATAACGGTGCTGGCGTACTGAGATACGGTGGTACGCTAATAATTTGGAACACAAAACATAAGCATCCAGATCCCATTTATTTTCCTATGGCCTCCCCAAATTTTGATGTGATGGTGAGACGACAAGTTGTAAAAGATGACATTTTTCATAAAATGGTAGCACTCCTACTTTTAGTGACAGTTGTAATTTGTAATAATAGAACGTCTACAATGTAAAGAAGTTCCCACAGCATAGTTTGAAGCTCCTTAAAATTGTATCATGAGGATTATTAAGAGCAAGGCTTAGTTTGTTGTTTGCTAAACTAAAGAAGCCAATCCTAAACAATTTATTTAATGAGTGCTAACTGCAATCCATTCTCATTCCGCGAAACATAGCCACCAAGATCTAACCAAATGTAGGCAGTTCACCAAACAGACTTCGTAAAGCATCTGTTCCCTATATAGAGATAATAAACCCCTCATCTCAGTGGCCTTACAAATGTGCATGTCAGGTCAAACTTAAAAGTCAACTAAATTACTTTTTCAGTAAATTTTGTTTCAAAACATGTTTGGGTATTTACTTTTTCCTTAATTATAAGTAAAAGATTTACCTATTTTGACACTAAGGTAGGGGTTAGTGGCCAACGTTATAATATTGATAAGTAACTTAATTATTTCCAACTTTGACCTATAAAAAGAATTTATTTATTCTAAAACAAACTTATTCATTATAGGTATTAGGTAAATATGCTAAGTGAGTCATACATGCAATCGTGTGAAAAAATGATACAAATAGACTTAACAAGTGCATGAGGAGCACAAGCAAAAGTATGAACTCCATGTTTAATGATGTGGATAAGTTTGAATTTATGTTGTGAAAACAAATAACAAGAGTAAAGATGTAAATGTATTATGGTAAGTGGATGACCAAAAATGTCAGCTTTTAGTTCTGTACATATGCATGTGTATACGAATGCACATACATACGCAGTACAAAGAGTTCCCCTGTGCACACTTCTTCAACTTTAAAAAGTAAATTAATTATGTTAACAAATCATTCTCGATTAAGTTTCCAACGCCATGTTTTAAGTTACTATTTCTCAAACATGAAAACCCAAGAGGCTACAGTAGATTGCAACTAAAAAATTAGAATAAAAATCAGTAATTTAATAGATAAAATAGAAATATACTTGCTCCAGTGTGTAATGTTTCTTCCTCTTCTTTTTCCTAGCTTCAGCTAGTTCCTGAAAAAAATCCATACAGGTGGAAACTTAAAAAATGTTAAGCAAAATCCATGCTTTCCAATACAGAGTTTCACATGTTATCAAGTCAAAAGCAATACATGCAGCCTAACGAATTAATTTGCAAATAAATATATCAAGCAAGAGACAAAAATTGAACTTGAAGCTGTGAAAATACTGTTCTAATTCACTTGCAAAAAGGAAAAAAAAGACAAAAAGGTGCAGGCTTTGGAGCATGGAGACATCAAAGTACTATCACAGCCTCATGGGTTGTAGTTCAAAAAGTATCATATGAATCCCTTTCCAGATCCAAACAAAGTTATATATTTCTTGTTTACAAAAAATAATATAGCATCCATCTTCAAAATACACGGAGTGAAAAGCATTACATGTTTGCAGGTCTAGAAAGATGTAAGAAAGCAAGAACAAGAATTAAACGATGATGTTTCTTTAAGATTTTTCCTAGTTATTTTAAATTGTTTCTGTAGAACCTTCTTTGTGATTATTACTCGAGTTATTTTTGGCATTAGTTCTCAGTTTCTGGAATTGTATTAGCTTTCAACCAATAACTACGACTTTCAACTATCCATTCTCATTAAGAACCAATATGGCAATTACTAAAGCTAGAGGCTATGTTCTACCAGCAAGCACAGAATACACAAAGTCAAAACTGCAATATGTGGTACATTACTTGCTCCAGCAACATAAAAAATTGTTCTAGCATTTATATTCATACTCCCCTAACCCAAACTTTGCATTGCAGCATCATTGTCCAGAAAAAAATCAAATCAAGTAATTATGGCGCAGCATAGCATACATGAAGGCAAACTCGTGTGCTTTAAAAAAAAGGAAAAGATTGAAACTTTTCCCATGATGACATGCTTTTTCTTGTCCACCTAGTCTTTCTGAACTTTGAGGTTAGCTTCACTCTGTTGTTTCTGCCACTATTCTTTATTGGATTACATAGAAATTTTTCTCAAGCCCTCGTGGTATTTCACTCCCAAAGTACACAAATTCCTACATCGCCGAGGCATAAATTGATAATGCCAGTGCATGATACAATCTTTGAAGTATAGCCTACTCTAATAACATTTCGAGCTCCAGAACTTGCACCTCACTTCAGCAGCTTCCATTATTATTCCCCATACCATACCAACCACAATTTTTCATTATCATTTCAATTGACGCAGAGTAAATTTCCACATTAAGCAATCCAATTAAAAAAATAAAAACCTACATAATACCCGCGTATATACAGGCGCATACAATGCATAATAAGAAGAAAAATCAAACCTTTGCTTGTAAACGACGCAGTTTCTTATCGTCCACATCACCTTTCTGCACCTTAGGCTTTCCTGCACGCCGTAAATGTTCTTTTCCGGGTGATTTAAAGGGCCTTTTTGAACCTTTAATCAGATTATTACTTCCAATTACTTTTGGTTTTTTAAGGTTTGATTTTCCCCCTTCCGATTTCGGAGCCGGAGCCCGCTTTCTTTTCTTGTCAGGATTCGCCGCCATTGACAAATTAGAAGCTCAAATTTCTTCTCCGTAGTAAAACATTCCGAAGGCTCCGTTGATTTGTGCTTCTGTATTTATATAATTGTGCATCTCTCTCTGTGGAGGGTTTTAGCGAGGTCTTTTTTTTTTTTTTTT